CCGCAAATTATTTAAAAACAATAAAAATTGTTTATAAAACGTTAATATTGTTAACAAACATTAAAAAAGTTGCTTACATAATTTTGATATTTGTAAAACCGTTTTAATATTCAAACAATGTTAACGTTTTATAAACAATTTTTATTGTTTTTAAATAACTTGCGGATATTTTAAACAATTTTCAAACTTTTAAAACAAAAGTAAAACAATTATTTTAAATAATTTTGAACTAATTAATTAAATTAAATGCAAAGAAAAGAATAATGAGAAACATGTTTTGACACAATCCATGTCTGAAACAAATTGATACACTTTAAACAATTTTTAACTTTAATTTTAACTTTAATTAGTTAAATTAAATGCAAAAAGTAATGAGAAGTACGCTTTACAAGTCTCTGAAGTGTCTCGCATCAATTTCAGTTGCGTCGACTCTAACCGTGAATTCCACGCGCGCCCATTCGCTATTTAAATTCTACTGATCGTATTACTTTTTGATAGAGAGCTTTTCGTCTTAGAATTTTACGGAGAATATGTTGGTAACTGGCGGTATGCGATTTTGAGACACCCTGTATACATGTACGAGTCGACTCCTATTCGTCAGTCACGTTCTATTTTGTTTGCGTTCTCTCTTTCGCACATGTATACAAAATGTACATCTGTGAGAGAGGCGCCTCTATTAAATAAAAAATAAGATAAAAACAAAGAAAAATTCGCAGTTATGGTTCAAAAAAGTAATAAAATCAATTGTTGCTTTCTTCTGTTCAAAATGTGAAAAAAATATATTTTCCAGATACCAGGACAATTTTAACAACGATTTTTTAATTCAGCAAGTAAAATTGAATAAGAAAAAAAGGTAACAATAATCCCTGCGTGCTCCCCAAATCGCCTAAAATGCACCAACTCCTTTTCCTGTTTACATTTTTGTCCTTAAATTATCCTATATTAATTTTCTTATTATTGTCAGAGAAGCCAATTTTATATACAGCGCAATTTTTTGCAAATTTCTACATATAAAATTGATCGTTTATTAATTTTTTTTTTCTTTTACAGCAAATGATTGCATATCGGATAGAAAATCAGTGTTGGAAGATCAGAAACGAGAAAATTTGTACGTTCCACAATGCATGTCTGATGGAAGGTATCATCGAGTGCAATGCTATTCGGGTTATTGTTGGTGTGTATATCAAGATACAGGTAAGCCAATACCAGGGACATCCTCAAAGGATCGTACACCAAATTGTAATCCAGTTCCGACTCCCAGCAGACCTATGAAAGGTAATTAAAATAAAAGTATTTTTTCTTGAAAATTATACTCACATATGTATATTATTATAAATTTCAAATCAAATAATAATTTTTTAACGTTTATAGGATGTCCAGAGTTAAAAAAACAATTATTCCTTCGAGATCTGATGACTCTCATGCAAGAAAAAATGGAAGCTTCCAACATCGATTCTAATGAAACTACCGTTAAATGGCAGGCTTCTAAGGAGGAAAGAATAGCAACTTGGCATTTTGTAATGCTTGATAAGAACAAAAATAAGGTATTTTTATAAGTATTCGCGACAAAAGACAACCGTATTTTTCTCTCGTTAATATCTATTAACGAGATATACAAGGTGCGTCCCAAAATTTTCCGAACTTTTGAAATAAAACAACAACGGTTTACTTTTTTTTTCAAATTCAAATTTGTTTATTCAAAGTAGTCCCCATCGGACTCAATACAACGTTTGGCACGATCTAAAAGCATTTCGAATGAGTGTTTTATGTCGTTCAAAGGTATGTCCTTCAGAATAGTGGTACAAGCCCTTTGGATGTCTTCTACGTCCACATACCGCTTTCCTTTCATGGACAAATGCATTTTGCCGAATAGGTAGAAGTCACAAGGTGCCATATCAGGTGAATACGGGGAATGGTTGATTGTTAAAATGTCATTTTTAGTCAAAAAATCAGTGACAAGTGTCGAACGGTGAGATGGCGCATTATCGTGTAACAAGCGCCAACTTCCTTCTTCGCGATATTCTGGCCGAATACGACGAATGCGGTGCACCAAACGCTTCAAAACGCTTACATAGAATACAGCATTAACTGTTTGGCCTGCTGGAACGAATTCTTTGTGCACAATACCCTTGGAATCATAAAAACAAATGAGCATTGTCTTCACTTTTGACTTCTCAAAACGCGATTTTTTGGGTTTTGGGTCGTTTCGCGCCTTCCATTCCGCGCTTTGACGCTTGGTTTCTGGATCGTATTGAAAACACCACGTCTCGTCACCAGTAACAATGCTATAAAGGAAGTTTTGGTCCTTTTTGGCTTCCTTAATAATGTCCTTTGAATGTTGAATTCGAAGCATTTTTTGGTCGTCAGTCAACTTGTGTGGATCAAATCGTGCACAGACTTTTTGTAGGCCCAAATGTTCGGTCAAAATGCGATAAATCGTTGATTTGGGGATGTTCAATTCCATTTCCATGTATCTCACTGAAGATTTTGGCTCATGCTTGATGAAATTACGCACAACTTCGATGGAATTTTCGTTAATTGTCGATTTTGGGCGACCTGTATGTGCGTCGTCATTTATGTCCTCACGACCGTTCTTGAATCGCGTATACCACTCATAAACACTGGTACGGGCTACACAATTATCACCATAAACTTGTTTCATCAAATTATGGGTTTCGGTAAATGTTTTACCAAGTTTAAAA